AAAAATGCAGTAGATAACTGACTTTTCATTACAATTTACAATTATACAAGTGTTGTAGCTGTTTATTTTGGAATCAGAGTATATGTGACGTAATGTAATATACATATAATTAACTTACAATGCCGAATTCTGAACGAATTCAGAAGAACGGATAAGACATATTTACTTTATACTTTTATTGTTTTAATATAAGCTATTCAAAGTCTAAAGTCCTATATGAAATATTTTTTTCATGTTAACTTTCATTGGGGGTATTGAAAATATAAAATGCAAAACTTCAATTATTTAAAATACAAACGTTTCTATCATCACCGCAAACCATATACAAAGAACACACATACCTATATGAAATATCCATTATTATATACATTGCTGTCAGACTTTTAAAATGCCAATTACAGAATATATTTTAGGTAGTAATTGAAATACAAAATAATTAAGAAAGAAATACAGCGTAATTGTATTTTGAATACTTAATTCAATTATAAATGTTTCAAGTACTGCACAGCCTGCAGTGGTGAGCCAGGAACCACCACTAGACAGAGCTAAGTACAAACTCATGGTACCACGATTTCGTTTAACCAAAGTAAACGACTCTTTTATGGCGAACTGTATACGTTTTTAACCGACTTCAAAAAAGAGGAGGAGGTTATGCTTTCGGCTGTACGTATACTTTATGTATATATATATATATATTTTTATAACATAAGTGACGGGAAGAACAAGTCGTGCGCCTGATGGTGAGCTACACGCCTGTCCATAACAGTTACAATGCCACCCAGAGTTTCAAATCGCAAAGATCTTAGGGGCACTATCACTGCGCCCGTCACCCTGAGACATAAGTTGACAAGCCCCATGTGCCTGTAATTTTGCCAGCATCCTTAATTTACCCTTCAAAACCGAAACACAGTGATGCTATAATTACTGCTTGGCGGGAGAAATAAGTAAGGTGGCAGTACTACAGTCCCATGTGCCTGTAATTTCACCAGCGCCCTTATACCCTTCAAAACCGGAAAACAGTAATGCAATCATTACTGCTTGGTGGGAGAAATGCATGTTTTCAGTTATCTCCGTCAATTGTGGACCGATTTTGAAAATTCTTTTTTCGTTTGAAAGGGTGCATTCTCGTGGTGGTCCCATTGTTACCAAGTCAGAATCTGATGAGGGGATCCCATAAAAATACAAGAAAATCCTAAAATTCTATAGGCATGTCCGTGTATTCACCAATATCTCCATCAATTGTGCACCGATTTTGAAAATTCTTTTTTGTTTGAATGGGTATACCCTTGAGGTGGTCCCTGATGCTGTTTTTCTGAGTTCGTTTCGGCTATCACAAATTAGTTAACAAAGTCATATTACAAAACTGAAGACTGCGTGTTAGACAAATATGTATGGAAAGACGACATGGCTCTAGATTCCGCATAAATTTGATTCAAAGTGTATTCCATAGCATTTAAGTTTATTTGAAAAGAGCAATCCCTAAAATTTCTTGCTCGTTCTTCTCAGGGAAGTCAGCGAGCGTAGTGAACGAGCAGTAGCTTAAAAGTGACGTTTTCAAGTGGAAATTTAATTTACATTGGAACATTGACTTACAATTACATGGACGTCGGGTCCGCGCTAAAAAGTGTCCGCACTTGTAAGGCGCTAAAATCGTATACAGAGCGCCAAACTCCTCATTAGTCTTCATTTGTTCTACTGACAGCGCGATACTGCGATGACATTACAATTTAAATTTCGAATAGGTTGACTTGGGACATTTTTTTCGTGGTTTTTGTATTAGACCCGTCGTCCATTTATTTGTAAGTCAATGCATTGGAATAAATTATTCTTTGACTTTGACTTTGACCACAACATGCTACAACTGATCTTCGGCATCGAAGGTCACTCCATCTAATTATGAATCCTGCAACCCTGGCGTTAATAGCTGAATTAAATTTGTGACTAATACTTTGCTTCATTTCATAATCATAATCATATCATTTATTGCTTTATGTGGTACAAAAGGTCTTAAAGCTATTATTACATTCCGACATAAACCCTGTAAGGGCACTGCAATTAACTTACTTCACTATATTAATACTAATAGGTACACATAAATTCATGCCAAACTTAACTTACTATACTGTACACATATTGTCATGTACTTTTATTATCGAAATACTCTTTTAGGTCATAGAAACAGTTCGAGAGCAAGTAACTTTTCAGAGCGTTTGCGAACATGTAATTATTTTCAATGTTTCTTATTCTAAGAGGTATTTTGTTATAGACTCTTATGGCCATATTGTGTGTACCCGAGCTAACAATTTCTAAATTTGTAAAAGAACCAATCAATTTGTTTCGCGTTCTCAAATTACGTACATAGGGATTATCACTTCCTTGTCCAAACAAGTATCATGCTTTCTTTCTCATTAATATTGAATATATATATATCTAATGTATCATTTAATACACACCAATTGGTTATAGTGATAAAGACTACTTCATTTAATACAATACAAATATTACCTGTTATTGGATATGACATGTCATCGGTGTTTTGTAAAAAGGACGAAAGCGACATTACAAAAAAAAAATCATGGAGCATATTTTAGATTTTAACGATTTTAGTAGCAGTAGAAAGAAATTGAAATTGAAGAATTGTGAAAGAGCTCGTCTCGGGAAGTACTGCCAACTATTTCTGCAGAGTGCTGGTGAAATTACAGGCACATGGGACTTATCGACTTATGTCTCAAGGTTGACGGGCGCAGTGGCAGTGCCCCTCAGATCTTTGCGATTTAAAGCTCTGAGTGGCACTGCAAATGTTATGGACAGGCGTGTAGCTTAACATCAGGCGCACGACTTGTTTGTCTTGTCACTTGATATTATAAAAAAAAATTGTAAAAAAAATATGACATGAAATTGTTATACATATGTATATTAACAAATTCTCGTAATAGCGTTCAGTATCTTTAACTTTGGTCACGTGTCACTGTCAAAAAATATTCGGAAAAATGTGATTTTCAAAATGAAAATTTTTCCATGACCCAACACTACTTGCGAATGACAGTGACAGCATCAAAACAGTGTATCACAAATTGTGCATTTCAATGTCTTCGTATCATTATCTGGAGATGAACTGATCCCAGGAGAAGGTCAAGCGCTCGTCATACTTGATATTTAAGATTTCAATTCAACTCTATGACACATAAGATAAGAAGAGTCCAAAGTCCAAAGCGTCTAACTTAAATGAGTTCGTGACTGACCACTGAACTCGAATCGAAACATTTAACATGTTATTATAAAAGATTTTGTTTGACGAAGATCATTAAAATTAGATTTTTAAAATTACTTGTAAACAATAAAACAAAGCAAAGTTGTGATGGAAATTATTATAAACTGTTTAAAATTGTAAAGATACTTCCTGTTCACTTAAAGCATAAATACTTACTCGCAATAAATAACCATGGCAATCTGGAGCATGGCTTAGTACTGGTCAATCATAGTCATAGTACCAGGACGGTGACCTCCGGTAAATACGAAGTACCTCGAGTGACTAACTACTATGGAGACAGGACATTCAATAAAAGATTACCTTATTTGTTTAATAATTTACCTGATAACATTCGCATGGTACATGACAAAAATAAATTAGCTTCTTAAAAAATATTTGTTAGAAACACTTCCATGAAATATATAGAATAGTTGCAATAATTCAAAATAGTCCATATATACCTACATATCAATAGTTATAATGTTATTATAGAGACTATCCTGTAGACAAACTGTGAAAACAGTTTTGCAGAACTTAGTTTAAGACAACATTTGTAGACAGTTTAATAAAGATTTTTTATTATTATTATTATTATTATTATTAAAGCCGTACTAAATAAATACTTATACATGGTTATTTACAGGACAATAACATCATAAAAATATAGCTTTTCTTCGACGATTTTTAAAAATCCGTCAGATTTCGCTTTCGTACAAAAATACAAATATTTTAAGGGTTGCCACAATCTCTCATGGCTTTGGTTGATTCCGAAAAACAGTGAAAGTGCTGAATATTGATTCATCAATATTCATTCATCATTGGGTATACACTGATTACTATACGGTGTGAAAAATTTTTACGACAGAAAAAACACAAACTTACCTCGAAATTTTATAAGAAAACCGATGTGTCCAGTAGGTACTTTACATATATATATATCAATGATTTTTTTTGTATCATGTACGATATACTTATTTGAAATGGTTTTAATTTCGTTTGTAAAAAAAACTAATACTAGAATATAATAAAAATAGATCGTTCTAAATGGTGATAACTCCGTGCGGTAACATAAAAAAGCTTTAGCTGGCGTAAACACCAGTCCCATACAAAACGAAGGAGCAAACGCGTCGCGTCGGTACGCACGTTTGAACTTACTACCTAATACAGATCTATAAAGTTTAGTTTTGTTATGTTTTGTAAAACGTCATTAAACAAAAGTTGTTGTTTATGATATTTAAAAATATGTATAGTATAATTGTAATCATGTATATTATTTTGTCCTAAACAACTTTGAATAAAAGCACTTTCGTACAATGACGTAAATACAATGCAATATATGGATACAGAGCAACTTTTGTAGATATTTCCGCGAAAGAATGTACATAATTTGAATAGTCCCTTACAGGTTACAAACCACAGTTAATCTTACCACAATTATGTACAAGTACAAAGTGAACCGCAACATTTCACTTCACTTCTTTTGTTTGTTTACATTTTGTCGGCTTCATAAGAGCGCCTTGGCAAGCCACGCAGTTAGTGAATGGGCGAAGCTCGGCTTTGCCACACGCGTTAGATCACCTTCAAATACGACGGTTCTTTTTCAATCGCGATCTCTTTTGAAACGACTAAAAAGTAATTTTCTCGAATTTCGAATATTTATTATGTAACGCATCCAAACGTATTCCATTTTTAAATTAAAAAATTGTTTTCTTTTGTTTTAAAATATTAATGTTTACGAATTTTTACGGCTGGTGTTTCCTATAGTGAAGTGCAAAAAGTGAGATAACGAAAAAAATACCGTTTCGAATAAAAAGGATATTCCAGATATTTCCATTTTAGAAGCTAGTGTCTGGTGCTTATCTTTTCGAGTCTGGCGTATTCTAACAGTGTTGTCTGTGATTGCTTTGCTCTGAGAATTTTGCGGACCTCTCACAACTCTGTAAGTTTCAATTTCAAGTAACTATTTATATGTAAATTTTAATCGTCATAAATTAAAACGTTGACTTTATTAAGATTATTTTACACGATTTAATCCATTCACGTCTGTCTAACATTTTGAGATTGTTATTCCTTAATTCCACAGACGATTAATTAAACTCTTAATGGCGAATTTTACGCAAATAGATGGTAATCAGTAATCGTATTTAATTTGAATTTCCATTTTTTTACAAATAAAACAGTACTAATTAAAAATTTAGGAACCTTTGCAGGTTGTAGAAGTAGCGTAAATTGTAATTATACAATGACAGCGTGACTGGTCGAGGAAACTTTGAAATATATTCAAAGTATTTTTTTATACCAAGTGACAGGACGAACAAGTCGTATGCCTGGTGTTAAGCGACACGGCTGTCTTTAGCAGTTGCAGTGCCACCCAAAGCATTAAATCACAAATATCTGAGGGGCACTGCCACTGCCCCCATCACTCTATCAAAACAAATCGGAAGTATATTCTAAAATGTTTATTCTCTTAAGGCCTCGTTTTCTTCGAAATAGTAAGTAAGTATGGCGAAAACTGACCCAAAATGTACGAAGTGCCGTTCATGGACTGTGCTAGTATAATTTTACGTTTTAGTTTATGCCTAGTTATTAATATATTTTTGTATATTTTTAGAAGTCGGGAATAAAGAAATAGCAAAACAATATATTTTAGAATAGATGCAAGAACACAACCAAATTAATTTAATTCGATCATAGATCACGGGTCGTAATCCAGGACTCTACTCAATGCCCAATTTGAGCGTCTTGAGTATGATTTTAAGCACTGGAAATACGACCGTAATGCCAAAGACTTGAGTATGATTTTCAGTGGTCACTGCCATGCTCAAGTCCTGACTTGAGTATTGAGTAGAGTTCGAATACGAACCTAAATAACGTTCTTGTATGTACGTTTCGTTTTAAGCATGAGTGAATGTTTACCTACCTAAAGTATTTGTTATTTTATAGTACACTTATAAAACATTGAAGTTATAAAATACCTAATCAATTAAACAATAATAACATAAAGTAAAAAAGAAAACACAATGTGACAAAAATGTTTAGACAATATTTAAATGAGAGATACGAATATTAGCAAAGGAACGTTTTGATAAGAGGCCTCTTGCTAATGTCAATGTCACTTTGAAATTGAGAACAGTGTGACCATTTGTGGTGGACTTCTACCATTTGGGCTGATTTAATTTTTACTCATTTTCATTGCGACAGAACACATGTTAACGTTACATTAAATGTTTTTGGTAGATTTAGGAATATTCAGCAAGTTCTTTATTATATTTAGAAACAAACTAAAAACTTGTTGTTGTCTGCTATTACGAACAAACATCTGAAGCGAAAAACAGGACAATGTTATAAACATAACCTATATCAAGTTTATAAACCCCATCTTCTACAGGCTGTACTCAATTAGCTTTTTTGATGCTTTGATAATGAATCACAAGTATTGATAGGTCTCTTTAATGCACGTTATCAAAAACACTGGGTCACAAAATACATGGGATGTCGTCATCCTTCTTTGAGGCTGTCAGCGCATAGGTGGCGTAGTCCACATTTTTTTTCTACAATATTACTTTAAGAGCGGTTACACACGTTGACTTCTAGCAGCGAAGCAAGCGCGATGCAAGCGCGCGACTGCATCGATACAAACGCGCGATTGCATCGCTACACTTGGTATTTATAGGCGATTGTACAAGTGTAATGCAATCGCGCGTATCACAAACGCGCGTTTGCGTTGCTGCTAAAACTCGCCGTATGTAAGCACTCTAAATGATGCCAAACTACATAAATTTATTTTATATTTGGATGCCACTTTCATGTATAAAAATATTTAATTAGTATTTTTTTAATACTTTCAAGTGGCATCCAAATATAAAATAATTATGTACTTCAGAAAAAAATTAATTTGAGTTACACCACTACTGCGCTGATAGCTTCAATTATTATTATATCTCTCTAGAACTATAAATATTCAAGTTTATTGAGTATTTCTGTCTTTCTCGGGTTAGTGTTTATTGATTAATCCTTGGCAATTTTTATTATTTAAACATTTGAGTATATTATCATGAAATATTATTTAATATTTTCAATCATAAAAATTGCTACGGAAATTAAGCAGAAACCTTACACCGAAAATGATCCAATTTAAAGTTTATTTCAATTTCTATAAAAATCCTCAATTCATAAGACACTGCACGCTGGTAAAATTACAGACACTTTGAACTTGTTAACTTGTGTTTTAGAATGACGCACGCTCAGATCTTTGTGATTTAAAGCTCTGAGTGGCTCTGCAACTTCTATGGACAGGCGTGTCACTTACTGCCAGGCGCTTGACTTGTTCGTCCCCTTACCAGGTCAATTAAAAAAGTTATCATAAAAAAAAGTTTTTACCTAGTTTAGTGATTGGAAACTCGTTGTTTAATTTTTTTCCGTAAGTCATAGGGTAACGTCGTAGGGTAAAGTTTATGTATATACGAAATAAATAAATTAAAAAAAAAACTAGTAGGGTTACTATGTTATTAACAAATTTAACACCACAATTAGAAACACGTACAAAATTGAAACATCAAAACATTACGAAGTTGTTAGTTACGTAAGTTGGAATGCAGCGAGAAATATATGGTAACTGACGTATTTTTGTTTTTTTTTTAAATTGCATTACTTAATTTTAGATATAAATAAATTTACTATTAAAAGTACAAAACTTTTAAAACGACTGCAAAAAGGAGGAGGTTCTCAATTCGACTATATTTTTTTGTGTGGATATTACGCGATTACTTCGACATTTATGAACCAGTTTCGATTATTCTTTTTTGATGGAAAGGGGGTACCTCCGTAGTGGTATCATACGGTTTATTGAATTTCACCCACTTTCCGTTCCAATTAAAATTAAATTTTATAGTGACCTAGAGGTCTATAGAGATTTTAGTAGCACTAGAACTCCTTGTGAAATAATTCGTTCAGTATTGAGTATTTAACTATTGCAACCATACCTATTACTGCCGCCAAGCATTAATGTGAGCATGAATGAAATTACAGGCACATGTACTTGTCAACTCATGTCTCAGGGTGACGGGGGCACAGGCAGTGCCTTTAAGATCTGTGAGATTTAAAGCTCGTAGTGGCCATGCAACTGTTATGGATAGGCGTGTCGCTTACCATCAGACGCATGACTTATTCGTCCTTACACTTACTCGAACATAATTCTAAACTTAACTGCCTCCGTGGCCGAACGGTTACAATTTATAATTTAAGTTACAATAAGTTAACAAGTCCCATATGCCTGTCATTTCACCAGCACACTTACTCTTCAAAACCGGAACACAATAATGCTGACTTTACTGATTGACGGCAGACGGTAAGCAGTACTTCCCTGGACGAAATTCGTCACAAGGCGCTCTACTGCTACTAACACTTTCATTGTCAATTGAAATTAATAAATAAATATTATGATATTCCTTGTGTTATTTGAATATTCTAGTTTAGCATGGATTCATGGTGCATCTTGTGTTCAGATATGTTCTTCTTTGACTTAGGAGAATTAATTGAATTAATGTAAAGTGGAAATTCATAACATGTCACATCACTATATCATAGGCTTGGCGTTAATGGAATAAAAGATTTTTTTTGGATATTCATATTCATTTATTCCCTTCAGACAACACAGTCCACAACATTACACATTTAGTTACATTATTATTATTATTATTATTATTATTTTGATAATTATACATATTAAAATTGACTCTATTAATTAAAATAAATAAAATAAAATAAAATATTAAAATATAAAGTTGTATACATTCTAAGAAATTAAAATTATATTGAAACGATTAGATTAAAATTAAAATTAAATAAACAAATAAACTAACTAAGGTGTATAATAATGGCACCTTTTATTATACGACATTTATTTATGTACACGCAATCAAGTCTGCCAGCTATCATGCTCAAGATACTGTTGGCGCTGGCCCGCATCCTACGCACCAAGGAAGTGCATCGCTTGCGCATCGTGGCGTGGAAACAATCCACACGCGCGTCTGCGAATATACCTGAAGCGCTGCAGTACCGGGGCAGCCCCATCAGTACCCCAAAAGCGTTGTTGAATTGTACACGCAGAGCATTGTACTAAACACATTATTAAACATTATTAAACACAAATGAGTATCAATTATTATAAAAAAAAAGATAAAAATAGTAATAAATATTTCCCATAACCTAATGAAACAATAGTTATTTGTTATGCAAGGCTGCGAAGTTGCTGTTTGACGCGAGTGCTTGTATTGAAACCTGAGCAAGCGAAGGAAGCGAGTGGTTCAAAAATAGATTCCAGGGAGATATCATTGTCAATTCAATGTCAACAATAATAAGAATAAAATATACCAACGGATTTATATTACATAATGTACGAAAAATCGCGTAGTTGAAAGTGTCATTATCTTTATTTCATCGAAAGAAAAAGTTCGGTGTACCACAGTCCATCATCAAGTTACAATTTCATAAACCTTTTCCACCCGAACGTGCAAAAAACGCTTTTGCGCGCGGATTTCTAATGAGGAAGAAAGCCTTTCCAACCAGTGAGGTGAAATAGTTATTCACCCGTACTTACATTGACATTCAATATTTGAATAAAAGCTACATCGAAAACATGATCTGATGCCCATACATCAGTACAACCATAGAGGTTCCAACAGAGAGGGACTCCTCAACAGCGTACAGCCGCTATCTTGTATTTAGGCTCGTTATGATTCGTTTTGATGAGGACTTCCAAATGCGTTTCAGTAATCGTGGTCGTTACTGCGGTCTCCGCAGTTAAGCAAACTTTTGTGATCAATTTTTTTTTTAAAGTTATTCAATTCTCATAGCAGGCAGGTGGCGGTATAAAAAAACTCGACAACCGCCTCTTCTTTGTATAGGACGGAACAAAAAGAATTTGGCAGGTGACATGAT